ATGAAAACTTGCCAATTAAAAGTTGTTTTTGTTATAAACAGCCTCCTGGTGCTCATTAACTGTTTAATAATTGTTAAGCCACCAAAGATTGAGAAAAGATGTTCAGGTTTGTAAGTGTTTGCGTAACTTCTTCGTGAATCTAGCCCCAGATCATTTGATGTTCCCAATTTTCTGATGGGAACATCAGATCATTTGATCATCAGACGAGGGAGTGGGGAATGGTGGTAAGGAATTGGGGACGGGAGTGGGGGATGGAAGGGAGGACGAGGGGACAGGGTAATAGGGGGATAGTGGGAAGGCCGAGGGGACGGGGAAGGGGAACGGTAGGAAGGACGAGGAGACGGGAGAGTGGGAGATAGCGGAGTATGAGGGGATGTAGGAGTAGGGGATGATGGGGAGGAAAAAGGGACCAGGGAGTGAGGAGTGGTTGGGAAAACTAGGGGACAGGGGAGTGGAGAATGGTTGGGAGGACGAGGGGACAGAGGAGTTAGGAATGGTTGGAGGACGAAGGGAGGAATGGTGGGGAGGAATGGTGGGGAGGACTGGGAGACAGGGAAAGTTTGCTGTGACTCAGCAACAGCCACAACAATGCATGGCCAGGTACAGCTAGTATATAAAAAATATACAAAAGGAAATCCAGCCTATGGCTGTAACACTATAGACATTTGTATTATTATTCCTCAGTACAAAAATGGTCAGTCACCCACCTTCCACTACATTTTGCACGCCAATGACAGTCAAACACTCCACGAACTCTATATAAGTAGTTACTAAGAACCTCTTCTCTACACCTAGAGGTTCACTATCCTGAACATCTTCAGGTCCTCCTAGAATTGTCTACAAGTGTCCTCCACAGCTCTTCCGGCTGCTACACCATGAAGTCTTCCTTGAACAGCAATGGTGCTTCACCACTGGTACCATAGAAGCACGTGAAACTCCACTCCACTGCTTCTCCTCTCACAGCTTGAGGTCCAACTCCTCTCTATGGGGACTGCTCTTCCACAGAGCTCAGTATTTCTTCAATAGCCTTGGAGTTCCATCCACTAACTCCTCCTCTACTGGCCTCGAAGTTCTCTCAACAACTCCTTTCCCCAGACAAACCTGCAACCCATTGATACCACAATAAAGTTGTTCCTCTACAAACTTATAACTAAAATAAACTACACAATAAATGTCTCCACTCGACATCCCTCTGATTCCTGCCTGCCGTGAGGTAACTCCTCCATGCCTGGGCGAGTCCATTCTCCGCCTTCCTTGGGAGCCCTTCGCCTCCAGGGTGCCCCTTACTCAGTCGCTCACAAGCAACCAGTGAGAGAGGACACGCTGCTCATCTCTCCAGCTGATTTCCTCATCTCCATTCTCTTATTTAGGCTTTCTGCCTTAATAAAATATGCCTAATATATCAATAGACACTTGCTACGGTCGCCGGGCACACGTCCAACTACAGGCAATCACTGTTATCTGGTTTAAAATGGCTTAGCACAGAATTTGGTCCGCTCTCAGCGCTCACTAACTGAGCGGTCGCCACTAAGCTGCACACAAAACTGCTTTAAAGACTGCTCCATATTCTCCCTGCAGTCCATGACTTGAGTTATTCCTCAATCGTCATGTCTGTCCACTTCCTTCTTCTTGAAGGTATAACAATCAGGGGTCCCTCTTCACCAGGGGCTCAATGGAGTGCGACCTCCCTTCACAATTTTTTCAGCCCAAGTGAGGTTAAGACTCTCTGAAAACGAGCCTCTCGCCTCCAGCAAATTCTCTACATCTCATGTCAAGTCATTTATTTATATTCTTGTTCACTGCCCATACTCATAAACTATTTGTCAAATTTAATCGAGTGTTTACTATATATATTTCCAGGTCTATATTTCTTTGACCTGGCATTCCTCTAATGCCTCCTCATTTTCTTGTCATAGTTAGGTCGGGTCTTGCAGAATAACTTTCAAGGGGGCAAACTCGTTTCTCAGGCAGCCTGGGATCATAACATTAGTGCACGCTCCCGGGGGTAAGAACAGTGGGTAGTGCTCACTATCGGGGCGTCTCCCCTTTCCCATTCACTCCTCCCTTTATATTATTTCTTCATGCTGTCTACTGTGACACACGTAGTGTAGTGTGGTTAGTAACTGTGTGACTCACTATAGATGACATAGATGGTGCCTTGTATTCACCTAGTTGTGCTTGTGGGGATGAGCTTTGGCTATTTGGTTCCGCCTCTCCACTGTCAATCAACTGGTGTACAGATTCCTGAGCCTACTGGGCTCTATGAAGTGGTCCGCCTCCACCACATCACTGCCTAATGCATCCCAACTGTTAACTACTCTAACACTGAAAAAGTTCTTTCTAATGTCCCTGTGGCTCATTTGGGTACTAAGTTTCCACCTGTGTCCCCTTTTTTGTGTACCACCTGTGCTAAACTGCTCATCTTTATCTTGCCTGGCAAATCCTCTGAGAATTTTATAGGTAGTGATCATGTCTCCCTCTAACTCTTCTGTCTTTCAGTGTCCTAAGATTTAGTTCCAATAATCTTTCGTCGTAACTCATACCTATCAGCTCGGGGACTAAACTGGTGAAATCCCTCTGAACCTTTTCTGTTTTTTGTCTGTGTTTGACTAGATGTGGACTCTACGGTGGAACCCTATATTCCAGTATTGGTCTGACATATGAGGTATACAAGGTTCGGAATGATTCCTTACACAAGTTTCTGAAGGCAGTTCTTATGTTCGCCAGCCTTGCATACGCGCTGATGCTATCTTTTTGATGTGGGATTCAGGGGACATGTCTGGTGTTTATATCAAACCCAAGATCTTTCTCATCCTGACTCCTGAAGGATATCCTCTCTCAGCTGGTACCTAGTGTTTGACCTCCGGCTCCCAATGCCTATCTTCATCACTTTGCACTTGATCGTGTTAAAGACTAGTAGTGGACCTAGTGTCCAGGGCATCCTGTCGTCTCTTGCCGTCCTACTTTGTCTTAATCCTTTCATAATTTTAGCATCATCAGCAAACTTTGAGAGGAATGATTCTATACCTTCTGGAAGATCATTCACGTATTTCAGAAACAAGATAGGGCCGTGTACAGAGCCCAGTAAGACTCCGCTGATGACATCGCGTTAGTTTGATGTGTCAATCCTCACATTAACTCTCTGATTCCTGTTGTTTAGGTACTCCCTTTTCTATTGGAGAACCATGTCACTTATTTCAGCTTGTTTCCTTAACTTATGCAACAATTTATTATGCAGCACTGTGTCAAATGCTTTCTGACAGTCCAAGAAAATGCAGTCTGCCCATCCTTTTCTTTCTTGCCTAGTACTTGTTGCTTGGTCATTGAATTCTAATAAACCTGTGAGACACGACTTGCCTTCCCTGAACCCATGCTCGTGGTGTTACAACGTCGTTTCTCCCAAATGTGCTACCACCTATTTTCTCATGATCTTCTCCATCACCTTGCATGGTAGACAAGTTAAGGACTCAGGCCTGTAGTTTAGGGCCTCCTGCCTAATCCCTTTTTTGTATACTGGGTCAATGTTAGCTATCTTTCAACTCTCTGGTAGGTTTCAACCACCTTAGTCACATCTAGATCAAGCATAGACCTCCAAACCTCATCTCTATTAATGCATTATCTTCCAAGGCTGCTTAGTTTATCGCCACCCCAGTTAGTTCAGGGACTTCTTCTTGTTTTATTGTGAAGACCTCCTGGAACATCTTGTTGAGTTCTTCACAAACCTTTTTTCATTCTCTGTGTACCCATACTCTCTCTTTTTCATTTTCATTATCTGCTCTTTCACGGTTTTCCTCCTGATGTGTCTGTATAACAGTTTTGGTTGGGTCTTGGCTTTGTTTACTATGTCATTTTCAAACTGCCTCTCTGCTTCTCTCATCACACCCATTTCTGGCCCTATGGTATCTCTCTCTGCTCTCTGGTGTCTTGTTTTTCTGTAGTTTCTCCTTGCCCTTGTGCTTAGCTGCCTTGCTTCCTTACATGACTGATTGAAGCACTGATTCCCTTTGGATTTTCGATGTTTTCTTTCTGAGCCGGGATAAACCAGTTCTCTGCCTCCTGACACTGGACGATGAAGTACATCATGCCTTGCACAGACTTTTCTCTGAGCTCTTTCTTCCAAGGTATTACTATTAAGATTTTCTCATCTCATCATGGCTTCCTTTTCGGTCTTCAAGCCTTTTACTTTTCGGTCCCATTCCTTAGATGGGGTTATTCCTGCTTCCATCAGATACTCAAACGCTAGGACACTGTGGAAACTCATTCCTATTGGGGTTCGGATTTGACTGTGGGGCCCTTGACATGTTGGCATAGAAAGTTTCTTGTTGCAACAGCTAATAATTTAGCTCTTCATGTTTCTGTCCCTCCATGTGGTTCTCGTTTTTCCCAGTCTATTTTTTCATGCTTGAAGTCACCCATGATCAACAGTTTATCGTTCTTCCTAAAGACAATTGAAGCTGCTCTCTCTATTATGTTAATGGTTGCCATGTTGTTCCTGTTATATTCCTGTCTGGATGTTTGTCATTTAATGGCGGTTATATGTTACTACAGCCATTATTCTTGTCATTATCTTAGTGCCTGCTAAGTAGTCACTAATCATCAAGGTTTGAGATGTTGATCTCATCGAATCTCCATGACTTCCTTATCAGCGGAACCACTCCTCCTCCTCCTCCTCCTCTTCTCTTCCCTCCCTCTCTTTCCTAACTATATAGTAGTCTTATATAAAGACTGTTGTAGTCTCTTGTTGAATCACTTGTGATATAAAATATTATTGATATGCATATGTATTTGTGTATATCTATTAATATATATGTAATGTGTATGTAATATTAACAATTGTGTAACACAAGATTGTAAGCTTCATAAGATTGTCACTTGCTTAACTAAAAAACTCTGGGGTTCAGTTCCTGAGCCGATTATGTGCCTCTGTAACCTTTTCCACCACCACCCACGGGAGGCATGATGAAGAAGTGAAATGAAGAGTACCCAGCCTGTGAGAGCACATGTGGAACAACGGAGCAGACAACTTTGCGACGAGAACTGCACAGATCTACTATAGAGAAGTGAGAGGAGAACCGACTGTGGCAGGTTGAAAAGTCTTAATATTTTCAGTTAACAACAAAGGAGCGCGGGAACATTGGAGGAAGGTAAACATATGTGATTCATAGACCTGTTAAAGAAAAACTACTTTAGCTCAAAAGTAGAAGGAAAAGTATTGAACTAGACGAGAGAGCAGTAGATTCCGGCACTTTTAAGAATATCCGTGTGAAGACATGCGAGAGACGAAACCAGAGTCTCTCGCGACTGGTGACATGACACCAGAGACTGATGAGATGTTAACATGTGAGTCCACCAGGAGTCAGTACCTTGGTCTATTTTGTCCCCTGATGTATGTTAAATCTCTCAGATGGGGCAGAATCCCTCCTCTAAATTTTTACTGACTCAAAAATAGTGATGATATCGTGGATAGACTATAGGAAAGATCCAACATGAGCCAGCAGGTGGCTACAAGACTCACCATGAGGCAGCAGGTGGCTTCAAGACTCACCATGAGCCAGCAGGTGGTTACAAGACTCACAATGAGCCAGCAGGTGGCTACAAGACTCACCATGAGCCAGCAGGTGGCTACAAGACTCACCATGAGCCAGCAGGTGGCTACAAGACTCACCATGAGCCAGCAGGTGGCTACAAGACTCACCATGAGCCAGCAGGTGTCTACAAGACTCACCATGAGCCAGCAGGTGGCTACAAGACTCACCATGAGCCTGCAGGTGGCTACAAGACTCACCATGAGCCTGCAGGTGGCTACAAGACTCAACATGAGCCAGCAGGTGGCTACAAGACTCAACATGAGCCAGCAGGTGGCTACAAGACTCAACATGAGCCAGCAGGTGGCTACAAGACTCAACATGAGCCAGCAGGTGGCTACAAGACTCAACATGAGCCAGCAGGTGGCTACAAGACTCAACATGAGCCAGCAGGTGGCTACAAGACTCACCATGAGCCAGCAGGTGGCTACAAGACTCAACATGAGCCAGCAGGTGGCTACAAGACTCACCATGAGCCTGCAGGTGGCTACAAGACTCACCATGAGCCAGCAGGTGGCTACAAGACTCACCATGAGTCAGCAGGTGGCTACAAGACTCACCATGAGCCAGCAGGTGGCTACAAGACTCACCATGAGCCTGCAGGTGGCTACAAGACTCACCATGAGCCTGCAGGTGGCTACAAGACTCACCATGAGCCAGCAGGTGGCTACAAGACTCACCATGAGCCAGCAGGTGGCTACAAGACTCACCATGAGCCTGCAGGTGGCTACAAGACTCAACATGAGCCTGCAGGTGGCTACAAGACTCACCATGAGCCAGCAGGTGGCTACAAGACTCACCATGAGCCTGCAGGTGGCTAGAAGGCTCAGGCAAGTGCATGATAATGTTTTCCAGGAACAGAAACAAAGATTGGACTTTTGATCCTATTGAACTAGAGACAAAATCCTTGTGTAGTCAGACGGAAAAAGATCACAAAGTATATATCTAAGCGAACTTCTCTGACAAAGATCAGACACCCACATATATTACACGACACATGACCAACTGGTTATCTTTAAAAACACATATAGAAATTTTAATAATTATACTTTTTTCATAGTTTTTTCCTGTAATGAAATTATACCAAGTAAATTTTGTTGTGTGCTTTAGGAAGGAATGTAGGCAGTTGATCGTTGGTGTTGAAGATATGTATTACATAACTTCAGATAATTACACATACCTCCATACCTTGGGGGTATGTGTAATTATCCTAGGAACTGTTTATAAATAGTAATGTAAACGTAAGGACCACGATATTTGAAATGCGAATCATATCGTATACGTAAATTAACAAGCGCCTAGAACTAGGATGAAGATAACAAATAAATAATATAGATTATGTAAAACCTATAGAAAAATAATGTTTTGATAAACATTTAAGTCCATGCAAATAATTGTGTTGCAAGGTACCATGAACGAGTGACTATGAGGCGCATTATGAAGACTCACGAGAGACATTAAGAGTGAGGCTGGTGGTGACGACGACGCCCAGACCGTTCTCAGCGGCACAAGTGAAGACTCTGCCGTTGTCCCTCGGCACCGCCTCCACCACCAGCTCCGACCTGCAGGACACACGGAACCACTGCATCATTATTTGTCTGGGAGTTGTGGGTTGTTGAGAGAGAGAGAGAGAGAGAGAGAGAGAGAGAGAGAGAGAGAGAGAGAGAGAGAGAGAGAGAGAGAGAGAGAGAGAGAGAGAGAGAGAGAGAGAGAGAGAGAGAGAGAGAGAGAGAGAGAGAGAGAGAGGAGAGAGAGAGAGAGAGAGGAGAGGGAGGGAGGGAGGGAGGGAGGGAGAGAGAGAGAGAGAGAGAGAGACACCGTCTTGACAGCAATGGTTGCAAAACCTTATATGAAGCACAAGTTCGCTCTCATGTATAGTATGCACCTAGATCACCTGCCCCCCCCCCCCCATTATTCACCAGACTTTTGGACAAAGTGGAGAGAGAGGCAAGAAGGCCCATCTCTAGTCTTGATCAAGTCTGGTGGGAACGGTCTGAACATCAGAGCCTGCAACACCGTCATGACGTGGTTGGGCTAAGTGTTATGTACTAGGGCAACATTCTCAAAGTTCTGCACCTGGCCCAACACCGTGGACTACCAGTAGTTGCCACCCATACTACAAGACTCTCAACCTCCAACAGTCATACTGGATGTGCCTTTCTCAAGAACATCATTCCATTAGCGATCATTCACTCCTTGGCTGACTCGAATCTGAAACTTGTTTGCCCAACAGGTTGATACACGGGATATCAGGTCAACAGCATGCATCGTGGGAATGTGTAAATAATTTGGTAAATTTGTTCGATAAATATGTGGATGACCAAACAATGTGGGATTCTGTGGATAATTTAATTATTAAATTGTTATTTCTAGTTAACTGTATAAAACAAATTAATTTACACACAGATCCAACAGTGGGGGAGTTTTTATTAATTAGTTGAATCCTGATAGTGCAGTATATATTATTTAACTAGCTGTACCCGGCCACGCGTTGCTGTGGCTCAGCAACGCGTGTGCGTTGCTGAGCCACAGTAACCTTTTTCTGTCTCCCAATCATTCCCCCCCCTCTCCCATCCCCTCGTCCTCTTAAACATTCCCCACTCCCCTGTCCCCTCGTCCTCCCCACCCTTGCCCCCCTCCCCTGTCCCATCGTCCTCCCCACCATCCCCCACTCTCGTCCATTCTTCCTCCCCACCATTCCCCACTCCCTCGTCTGATGCATTCCCAAATGATCTAATATGCCCATCAGAAAATTGGGAACATCATATGATCTAATGTTCCCATCATTGATATATAAGAAAAACAGTTAAAAAACGAAGTGAAAAAATTTAAAAGTAAGAAAAAAGAAAACTATAATCATGAAATGAACGGTGTGGTTACAAAAGAACTGAATTCCAATGCAATGTCACACAAAATAATTAAATCAAAATGAAAAAAAATAAAAATCTATGAAAATTCTATTTGTCAATGCATTCGGAAACATTGAAAAGGAATCATAACATATTTAGTATAGTGTGTGTTGCTCGTATGTGCAACAGATGGCACTGTTTCTTAAAAAAATGATGTTTTTACCTGTCACAGATGTGGTATCTGTACATATACTCACGAGATGAACAATATGACAAACAACACAGCTCAATTCCAACGTAATGTCACACAAAATAATTAAATCAAAATGAAAATAAATCGAAATCTATAAAAATTCAATTTATCAATGCAATCGGAATCATTGAAATGGAATCGTAAAATATTTAATATTTAGTATATAAAATATTTAGTATTAAAATATAAAATATTTAGTATTAAAATATAAAATATTTAGTATAGCGTGTGCTGCTATTGCGTGCAACAGATGATGCTGTTTTTACCTGTCACAGGTGTGTCATCTATATAGTAGGAATATAAAAACACGCATATATTCAAATGGAACGTTGTGTCAAGATATCAAATCAATCGCTGAAGAATTTTCAGAGATTACAGCGTGTGTTTTCCTTACGTCCACCAGATGGCGCTGTTCTTAAAAAAATGTATGTTTCTTCCTATCACTGGTGAGGCATGTACATAACAGGTATATAAAAACACGCGCCTATTCGAATGCAACGTTGTGTCAAAATTTCAAAGCAATTGAAAAAGAGTTTTCAAAGATTTCCCTCACGTGAAAAACACATGAAACACTGTGTTTCAAAAAAGTATGTTTTTTCCACGTCACAGACGTGACATCTATATAGCATGTATTTAAATACCCGCTCGAATGCGAATGGAACGTTGTGTGAAAATTTCAATGCAATCTGTGAAGAACTTTTGGAGATTATCGATTTTGAACAAACGAACAATACGTTTATATTTATATAGATTCATTCTGTTATTTCAACTTTATTAATGAATTATTAATTAATCTAAGTGATTTACTGTACCACGTGAATTAGAGTTAGTAGTAAACAAAATGGTTAACTTAGTGAGTAGACCAGTGTAAGCCTCAGTTAACATCGTGCACAGACCAGCGGAAGCCTGGCGGGGAGCTTAGCTGCAAACAAAACAAACAAAAGAACTTAATCGCGCTGGACCACAAACACAGCAAGGAATATGTTGACCAAACCACACACTAGAAAATTCAGTCATGTTAGGGATTCTAATCATCCTATTGATTGGTCTTCCTCCAAAATAATCTTTCCTGCCTCTACTCTACACAGACGCCGTCTTGTTGAATCGGCTCTGATACACAACATACACAACATGAACTTGAACCCTGGCTTTGTTGCTGTTGACTCTTCCCTTTCACAGTACAAATGCTCAAAACTTTCTAATAAACGGGACCTAACATAAGCTTACCCTTACATTTATCTTTCTTTCTTTTTCTTTCCCTTGTTTTCTCTTACGATCCCGTTAGATTCCCTATTACTATCCTCTTTATTACACCTTATCTTTCGGACCTTTTGCCTTGCTTTTTCTTCCTCTAAGATTTCCTTCTCCTCACCTCTCTCTTGCCTATTTATTGTCTTCGCCTCCTTCCCTCATCACAATCTCTACTTAACAATGGTCCAGGACGAACCGAAACGTCATCGTCTCTTCACTTTCTAGTATGTGGTTTGGTCAACATATTTTAGCCACGTTATTGTGACTCCTCGTCTGCACAGCGAGGAACTAGAGCTTGCAGATGTTATTGACATATGTAGATTCACAGTCAAGTGCTACAAACCACTAGGTGACAAATTAGCAAAATATGTAATCTAACATGTTGTAGACATTAGTGCAGACGACATCAAGGCACAACTTCAGGCAATCGGTATTCCAAGTGACTTTCTGACTCATAGTAAAAAAAATTATGCTTAAAACAATCGGAGAACTGAGTGATACAAGCACTGCCCTACTTACTTTTCTTGATTACTTCCCCCCCCCCCCCACTAATCGGGTTTGGTTTAACGGCTTCCTCCATAAACTAGAGGTGTACGTACCATGCCCAACTAGAGGTGTACGTACCATGCCCAACTAGAGGTGTACGTACCATGCCCAACTAGAGGTGTACGTACCATGCAACCATACTAGAGGTCGTAAACGCTGTGCCAAACTAGAGGTGTACGTACCATGCCCAACTAGAGGTGTACGTACCATACTAGAGGTGTACGTTCCATATTACACTGAAGACTGTGTACATTCCCAACTAGAGGTGTACACCATTCCCAACTAGAGGTGTACGTATAACTAGAGGTGTACTCACCAAAAACATTGCATGTATAAAATACTCTGGTTCCTATTACACTGAAGACTGTGCATCAGATATACTCACCTGCTCAAACTGTGGTGAGCAGTTTGAGCTGTACAACTAAAACATTACATTACATTGTGACATTACAGTTTGTGACAAAGTGTAATGTCACAATCATGCCATTACATTTAAAGAATGTTCTTCATACATAGCGGCAAAAACTAAGGTTCTCCCTACCAACAACTTGCAATACAGTAATGCGTTGACACAAAGTGCATTGATGCACTGAAGTACCCTAACTCAGCCCAACATCAACCGCTACCTCACACTCAACCACAACCTTCGCTTGTCCCTGTACATGATATGTCTGTCACTGACAATGCTGCACCTCCAGAGTCCAATCCTCTCCCACAAAACGACTTGCAACCGAGTCCCGATCTCGTTGAGACTCCTGTCACTTTCACTGAAAATGCACTAGAAAAGACGCTGGACCGACTCTTAACTAAATTCTTTATACAAGTAAACCAACCCATCCCCGAGGCTGACCCGACAGACATTCCATCGACATCTACATACAAATAAATCAGCCCCAACACAGCTACCATTGCTGAAGACACA